CTCTGTGCTCAGGAAACCCAACACACAGCCAGGGCCATTCCCTACCTGCAGGTACACCTGCGTGTGCCACACACACACAGATATTCCCAGGCTGGATTCCCTCAAACAGTTGTGTGTCCAGCAGATCCATGTGCTCACACATATGCTGGGAATGCTCAGATCCTTTGCTGACAGATCCTACACAACAGGTTTAGCAACTGGGGGACAAGTGGTTCTGTCCTTCGTTCTGTCCTTCTGACCCGGTTCTGTAAAACCCTGGGCTTTAACCTGCCTCTGGAAGTTCACAGTGGCCACCCATTCCCAGAGAAACAGGAATCCCCTGAATTCTGGGATACTGCATGCACAACGAGTGAGCTCTCCAGGGGACTTCTCCCTTCCAACTCCTCTTATTCAACAGGCCTAAAATCTGCAGCTGCCATTCCTGACAGGGATGCAGCCAGGCTGTAAACCCCTGGGATAAAGACTCCGGAGAGAGGCTGGAACAGCACTGTCAGCTTGGAGCAGGGCAGGCAGCCTGCGGGGAGCTCACTTCAAATGCTAGCTTTTATTTTCTGCACCAGCCTCTGAAGCCATAAGGATCCTGCTTTATCCACTTCCCAGCTAGGCTCCCCAGACATGACTCATCTTATTCCCAGCTGCTCCTCCTCCTCCTCCCCACAAACGGACAGGAGAGGGATTGAACAGCCGTGGGGACATGGGGCAGTGGTGGCCCTGGCAGTGCTGGGGGAAGGGTTGGACTCAGTGGTCTGAGAGGCTTTTCTAACCCAAACAAATCTGTGACTCTATGGTCCAGAAGCAAGTTCAAGGGCACAGTGACTCCAATTCTCCTGGGAGGAGCAGATATCCCAGGGAAATTTCTACAACAGCAAGATCCAACACACAAACTGACCCTGGAATCTACTGCACCTCCTTGTGCTACCCCTACTTTCCTGTGGGTCCCACCCCCATCCTTCACTGCTGGGAGAATTCACTCTGTGTGTGCCACAGCTAGCTGAGGCACAGCTCTGTGCTGAGCCTTGAGCTCCTCAGAGCCTGTGCTGTGCCCACCAGGGACAACAGCAGCCTGGCCACCGACTTCCCTGGCACAGATCCCGTCCCCAAACTGTTTCCAGCCTTAGGAACTGAACTGAGCTGACTCCACGACTGTTTTGGGGCTGAGATGTTCAAAGGTAGTGCTGGTGGTTTCACTTCTACCTTCTGTGCTTGGAAACACTGTTCAAACTCAGTGCTTTTACTTCAGTCAGGACTTTCCGCTCCTCCTGCAACTCAGTAAAATCCCCAAAGGTCACTTTTTGAATGGGGAAAATGGTTTATGAGCACCACACTTCTCCAGAGCCAGGACAGAGCAGCAGCCTTTACTGCCACCCCCAGCTCGGTGCCTGCAGGGCCTGGCACTCCTCCCCACACACAGCCCTTCCCCCGAGCCTGACATATGCTCCGACAGATTTTAAGCTTCATATTTGATCAGAAATCATAATTAATACTTACGTGTTTGTTTCTATACTGAGAAAATTGAGAGAGGCCAAAAACTGTTGCTATGGCACCTCCTCCAATGAGAGCAGTTCCTTTCACTGCCTTCCGAAATGCCATTTCTCACTGGAAGGAGAAAAGCAGATAAAAATTAATAGTCAGTTTTACCCTGTCAGGATCTAGGCTACACACAACAGACCATTTGCAGAAGCTAATGACAATGTTGTGACAAGCTGAGATTTAGGGTAGCGACGCATTAATTAGCGATTTTGATTGCAATATTAATAATCTCTAAATAAAGCCTAGACAGAGGCAAAGCAGAGTGCTCTGGTGTTTGCCGTGAGAGACGCACGACAAGAGTACCGAGATCTGAGCAGATACGTGCCCAGAGCCCCAGAGACACTCCTGTCTGTGACCAGCACTCACACTGGTGTCCCATGGCAAAGGCAGGACACAGACATGGACATACACACACCTCTCCTCAGCCACAGAATCCTTACACCACGGCGGGTCCGCTCCACATCATCCCCTCTAGCTCTCCTCCCATCCCACCCAACTACAGCCTAACACACCCATCTCTCTTTCCAGGCAGGAGCTGTGCCCCAGCTCAGCCCGTCCTACCCCGGGGTGGTGGAGGAGAGAGCTGAGCGGGGCAGGACAGGTCCCTCAGCCAGGAGCAGCAGCACAGACACGGGACACGGCTGAGCGGCTCGAAAGCAGAGCAGCACTTTGTCATCCAGCTCCAGAGGGTTTAAACCAGCCCTATGTGGGTCAGGCAAATTCTTAAAAGCCCCAGTGTTCAGAGCCTGAATGAAGAATTTGCATGGGACTGACCTGAATCTTAAGCAGGGACAACCTACTCTGTCTTCTTTGGCTCGTTAGCGACAACACACATCACATTGGAGGGACTCCCGTCAGCGCTCCAGGCCCTCCGGACACGGAGACACCTTTGTCCAGGGCCCAGGCTCACCCAGCAGGCCCCAGACGACAGATTGAGCACTGTGAAGGCTTAGGGAAGACGTGGGAGATGTGTGCAGTGCTGTGCCAACGCCGAACGCCAGCGGAGCGGGAGCAGCCCCAGGGAGACACAGCTCCCCATCTGGGGCTGGGCAGGGGCAAGGAGGTCTTGGAAACCTCCCCTGAGGTTTGTCAGGAAACAAACACCACCAGGGCATTTCACTAAACTGCTCCTGTGCCTGCACGTGCCACACACAGAGATGTTCTCCGGCTGCATTGCCTCAAAGGAAGGAATTCCTCCCTGGGAGGAGGTGCTGAGGCACTGGCACAGGCTCTCCAGAGCACCTGTGGCTGCTCCATCCCTGGCAGTGTTCCACTGTACAGAGGACCTGCAGCTTCCCAGAAGTTTTCTGAAGAGCAGCATGTATGAGAATCTCCAAGAGCAGCTCTTGGAGATTCCCACCAGGACAACCTTTCTCGTATCACATTTTCCATCTACTGCACACTCTGGTCACAATGAAGAACAACTTCATCTTTCCTTTACACTGTGACAGGGAGGAGGGAAAGGGAGAGGTGATAGACAACCCCCCAGCAAGGGAAGTTCCTGGGAGGGAAGTTCCTTGGGAGGCTTGGCCTCAAATGCTGCAGCACCTCTGTGGAAACAGGGAGGAAGCCTGTGGATACTCATAAAGTCAGACCACATCTAACACCCCCCCTCAAAATAACACAGACCTCTGAGTTTTTCAAACTGAATAAATAATGCAGCTATTTTATATTTATGTGTTTAGTTTTGGATTACAAAAATGTTACTGCATCAACCTAAATCTAATGCTTCTCTCACTGTCAATAACACCAGAAATGTCATTGTATATATATTCCAAAACCCAAACAAAATCCACCGAAGTTGTGTAGCAGATTTCCAAGTTGTTTGTACAACAATGCTGCGAAAGCAACCAGCGGAAAGTGACTCCACGCTCAGCCCAGTGCTGAGCTACAGACACCTGCACCTGCCTTTCAGACTGAATGCTCAATAAAGGACAACAATCATACAGAATCATAGGAGAATTTAGGCTGGAAAAGACCTCCAAGGTCATCCAGTCCAACCTGTGACCCATCACCACATTGTCAACCAGAGCACTGAGCGCCACGTCCAGTGGTTCCTTGGACACCTCCAGGGCTGGTGACTCCACCACCTCCCTGGGCAGCATATTCCAGTGCCTGACAGCCCTTTCCTTGAGGAAATTCTTCCTGATGTCCAACCTGAACCTCCCCTGGCACAGCTCAAGGCCATTTCCTCTTGTCCTGTCCCTGTTCCCTGGGAGCAGAGGCTGATCCCTCCTGGCTGCACCTCCTGGCAGGTAGGTCTAGTGGGAGCCCAGCAAACTCCACTGCCAGTCCAGGCCATCAATACTCCTCCGTACACATCAATACAGGACAGTCAGTCTTCAGGGGTTAATCAATTCCTGTTCACAGCGACTCAGGAGCGTGAACAGTGAGCACCAGGCACAACCATGGTGGGCATGAAGGTGCAGGCAGCTAGGGAACAGGGTCAGAACACTCCCAGCAGGACCCTGCCCTGGTACCACTGCAGATACTGTCCCAGCCACGCTGAAGTGACATTGGATGTGCCACACAGAACAGCTTTGCCACTCTGATCACACAGGTAACACCTGCACAGACAGGGGCTCTGTGCCTGCTGTACAGGAGGGGTCTCTGTCAGGGCTCCCCTCCACCTGACCACACTGCCAGTGTGTGGCATGAGCTCTCCCCAGAGCTGAGAGCCTGATTACAGCCAATTCTCCAGAGAGAGGAACTCTCCCAGGAGCTGCTCAAATTGCCACATCAATCTTGCTCACCATCCCTAAGAGAAGCTTATTCAGGGACAGAAAGGAAAATAGGGCTTAACATAAGCCACTCCAGCGCAAAGCCAGACAGGCACTCCAGCCCACAGACGGTGCTTTTACACCTGGAACAGCTCAATTGCATTCCAGGAACCCGTGAGCCCACACTTGTGAAGTCTGAGGAGATGTGTTTGGATGAGGCTGGATGAGCTCGGGGCATTACGGGGCCGCAGGAGGCAGAGCACTGGCACAGACAGGGCATGGCCATGCCAGGTGCCTGTGCCTCTGCCCCAGGCTCTGCTGGGGCACATCACAACCTCTCCCTGCCCAAACCCTGGAAGGAGCAGCACTGCAGCAGGAAGAGGCACACAACGACTCCTCTGGGCAGAGGGATGGCTTAAACACTGCCTCAGCGGCCACAAATTAGAGGCTGTGCACAAGCCTGTGGGTTTTTCCTCAGGCTCTGTCCCAGCTAGCTGCTGGCAGCTCCCAGCAGGACACACCTGAGCACAGACACATTCCATGGAGGTCCCATGGAGGTTGTACCCAGGGAAGAGCCTACACTTACAAACCACTCCTCTTCTGCGAGAGGAGCTGCGACCTGCCTCGCTTCTGCGCCGAGATCTACAGCTCGGATGGAAACACCTGTGTTTGAATGACAATCCTAACAGCAGCCAGCACGAAAGCGACAGAGTCAGGAATCAGTCATCCATCACACGGTGCTCTGAGTCACCTGGAAAAGCTGCTCAAACTGTTTTAGCGCCGTCAGTGCCATCTGACACGGTAAATCTGCGTGTTAAGCCTTACCCTTGGTTTCGATCGAGGCCATAAATGGCACCTTTGGCCCCATGCCCTGGCTGTGAGGGTGGCTGAGGTCCCCAGCAGGCTCCAGAACATGCTGTGGCAGGAGCAAGGAGCCCTTGCTGGCACGGGAGGAGCCAGAGGCATGCCACGAGGAGAGGGCATTGCACAGAGTCATCTGCCCAGGGAGTCCAATAACCCCAGGGACAGCTCCCAGGGGACCAGATGAGCCTTCGTAAAGATTCACATAGTCCAAACTGCTATTAAAGGACTCCTGATAAGCACAAACAGGCTTTAAACTTGGAAAGAAACACAGAGGGGTGGGGGGAGCTACATGAAATGGAAACTACTTCGAAGACTTATCAGCACAAGTTCCTGCTTTCAGTTTCCATAAGTTACAAGAGTTAATACAGTCACAGCAGGAACTGCTCCCACTTCAGTGCAGTGATGAACCAGCAGCTCAGAGCACACTCACTGGGACTACAGCAGCAGTTCACAGCTCTCACTTCCAGAGGGATCTCCCACTCCAGATCCAGGCTCAGCAAGGTCCCCAGGTGACCCTCACCATCTAACAGCCCCCGGACCTCCTGTCTCACAGGCAAGAGCTCCTCTTCACCAATCAATCAATCAATCAATCAATCAATCCACTCCTTAAACTGCTTCACTTCCAGCCCCGCACTTAAAACCCCACAGCCCACAAAGCATCCCCTCCATCCTGGTTTTTAAAGAAGGGATTTCAACACCAGTTGTCACCAGAGGCTTCAGAACAGCATCCCCCAGGTGACAACTGCTGCCACCCGCAGCTCGTGGGGCTGACACACCTCCTGGGAGTGCTTTGCCCTCCTCACTTCCCATAACGCCCAGCACAGGCAGCTGCCAGGCAGTTACCTGGAGTTGTGCAACCCATCCCACCCGAGGTGATGGAAAAGGAAGTACCTCAATCACCACCCTCCTGTGCTCAGGTGCTTTCTAATTAGGAAGATGCACAGCTGGATCTGAGCAGTGCTGGGGGAAAGAATGAGAGGAATGAGGGAAGGGGAATGGTGGGGAATTCAGCCAGAACTGTGAGTCAGAGACCAAAGAGAGATGACTATAAGCTCTCTGGTGAGACTCCACCTGGAATACTGCACACAGTTCTGGTGCCCACAATGCAAGAAGGACATGGAAGTGCTGGAGCAAGTCCAGAGGAGGCCATGAAGTTGCTAAGAGCACTGGAGCATCCCCCTGTGAGCACAGGCTGAGGGAGTTGGGACTGTTCAGCCTGGAGAAGAGAAGGTTGTGTGGAGACCTCAGAGCAATTTTTCAATACCTGAAGGGGCTCCAGGGAAGCTGCAGAGGGATCTGTGTTAGGAGCTGCAGTGACAGGGCAAGGGGTAATGGGTTCAAACTGAAGGAGTGGAAGTTTAGGTTAGATATTAGAAAAAAATTTTTTCCCTGTGAGGGTGGTGAGACACTGTCCCAGGTTGCACAGGGAGGCTGTGGCTGCACCA